GGGGGGGGGGTGTATTTTCCATTAGTTGTGGGGATTTATTCGGCAAGTGGGAATTTTCGTAAATTTATTCCATTAAAATTTTGATATTCTGTACTCTATCCCAGGGCTACTCGGGCAACTTTAGGTGTTCTTAGGGTATAAATTGCAGGGAAAAATTAATTTAGTTTGTGCATTAATAATTATTTCATTGTTTCCCTCGTATAGAGGTCCGGAAAGTCGATGGATAGCAGATAGCGTCACGCTTCCATGTAATTTATACCTTAAGAACATCTAAGGGGATAATAGAGAATATGAATGTGCCGGTCGAAAATAAGTTCTTTCATTGAAATTTGGATAGAATATGTAGAATAGTCGAGACTAGTTCAGAATCTTCTGGAAAATTCGAGAATCATTTGGAAAATTCTCCGATAGTTCAAGGATTATCCTTAACTATTAGATTTTTCTATTTTCAAATATTTAAAATAATTCCAGAAAAAACTCGTGAATTGAATGAGAGCGAAGCAAAAGAAGAAATAGGGAACATCAAATGTTGTTTGATGGAATATGGGAGAAAAGACTATTTTATCCTTGGAATCTTATTCAATAAAATTTGAGTTGTTCATTTTTTCGAAGAATAATAGAATGTTCTAAAATTGTTGAGACTCGTTCAGGATTTTCTGGGAAATTCGGGAATCCTCGGGAAAACTCTTTAATAAATCAGAGATTGTCGATAAAACAAAAATCGAAAAATGGTGAATCTCTACAATTTTTCAAGGGATTGTAGATATACACAAATGTATAATTTTCCTCAACTATTATATTATATTACTATTATATTTTAAAAGATTCAGGAAAAGCTCGTGAATTTGAATGAGAGCGAAACAAAGAAAGGAAACGACGAACCTCAGAACTTGTTTTGTTTCAAAATGGTAGATCTGTACAACTGATGAAGAATAATAATAAGAATGTATTATTATTACTAATTATTGTTACTATTACTTAAATTTATTTATTCTTCGTTTTAGGATATTGAAAAACAATAAAATACAAAAACAATGAAAGGCTTGTTTTCATTTATTATATATAATATAATCTATAAACGAATGATTGAATGATCATTAAAATAATAATTCACAAAGAACGGAATAATCCCAAGTGAAATAGTAACAAAAAATATGGTATAATGATTTCATTGGAATAACTGAATGGGAGTTCGAAGCACCGCACTTGAGACTCGAGTCCCAAAAAATCGTAAATATAATATGAAGATGTAATGCACAGAATAAGGGAAGGATCAATGTTCAAACAGACGATGCGAATGTTTATCATGAAAATTCCTCTTCCGAAAACCATTCCTTAACTACAATAAAAGGTAAGAGAATCTCGAGGCATAGGAGATGATGCTTAATGTGAACATTTGGGCCCCCGTAGTGTAACCTCTTATGAAAATCTCATTAGAAAACACTTAGAATACTTTGTACACTATATTGCACATTGTCTTTGTGGATTGCCGGGTGTAATTTGGATAGAACACACAATAAAGAGGTTCCGGCCGAAGGAGGTGCCCAAGGAATAGACGATTGAAGTACAAGATACTGAAATTAGAAGGTGAAGAAATGATCCAGGACATCCTTGCGCCACTGTTGATCATCATCGCCAATATCTTCAGCCGCGTTCGATTGAATTTCCCGGACTGACTTGTGTCTTCTGAACCCTCTGCTCGCGCTGCGTACATCTGACTCGCAGAAGTCCGTATGGCAACCATCCGCGATTGGCAACAGCGACCTGATTCTTCTGATTGTCAGCCGCTTCACGTTGCACCTGAAGTCTATGTAACATAGCACCAGCAACTAGGGCAGATATAACTGCCGATAGAGCAACTATGATGAATAAAGCACTGAAACCTGGCATTGGCAGGCAAATACCATACACAACTTCTTCTCGTATTCTACCCTGAAACACAGTGACCGCTTCTGCATGGGTGTCGGGACTGAATGCCAAGTCTGCCTCGGATATGACCTCGTAGATACCACTGACGCCAACGTCCGCTGAACGTGCTTTGCGATCTGATATTTTAACAGAACGACGCTTTCGCGAACTGCCACTTGATTTCAGGGGGTCTATTGTTGTGTCACTTCCTTCGAGATTACGCGGTCCGTGGGGAAATTGGTCCTCGTCTCTGTAGGAAGTCACTCGAGGGGGGTCCTAGTGCATATTGAATTATTAGTCTCGAAGATTATGATGCATATGCTTTGAAACTAGAAGATCGTAACCTGTTCATAGACTTTTGGTTACAACGATATATCGTAAAGCTAATCTCTTGGGGACAAATCGTTTGGGACAAGAATTCCATGAAGTGTTCACACTGATAGCAATTACGAGGCGTCTGAACTATTAATGAATGGCATTAAGAGTTAAGAAGTTTCGTTAAGAGCCACTTTAGCCTTCTATCTTTTGTATCAAGGCACGTACTGTTAAAAATTTTTGGTTGAAATTTCGAGTGAAGTTCGTGGAAATTTTGATCATGTTATAGTTGCACTGGAATTCGAAGGAATTTCGTCGTTGAAAATTCAAAATTTTATGGAAAAGTCAATGGAGTCTGTAATTTCCAGATCAATTATTTCATGGAAATGAATAGAAATAAGGAAAACTCATGTAAATGTATTTCTGAATTCCGTATTTATTGAAAATTCAGCATAAATTAGTACTGAATATTTTGGTTTCATTGAAAATTCAATTTCGATGTTTGTTTTAACAATCTCACTTGAACATGAACACTTCACGATAAAGCGAGGATTTCTCGCCTCTAAGAAATCTTATCTAGCATCAGAAGATGAGAAAACCGATAAGAATACAAAACTGTTCAACTCATGCAATTAAAGGAGCTAATCTCATCTCATTACTGATTTCCTCTATTCATGAATTCTCGATTATCACTTCAACTAATGCGACCTGTTTGTCCCAATCATGCAATCAAGCGTTTATGGTCCATAATTTGGAATTGCATTGATTTTTCCATAAAATTTCAATATTTTTTTTAACAATCTCACTTGAACATGAACACTTCACAATAAAGCGAGGATTTCTCGCCTCAAAGAAACCTTATCTCGCCTAAGAATACAAAGCTGTTCAACTCATGCAATTAAAGCAGCTAATCTCATCACATTACTTATTTCCTCTATTAATGAACTCGCGATTATCACTTCCACTAATGCAACCTGTTTGTCCCAATCATGCAATAAATCGTTTACGTTTCTACTTACCAAGAATGGATGTGTAATTTTAGGCTCCTCAGGTCTACTATCCTTCTGCATATCATTGACAGCCCCATTATCGGAGTTACGATTGGCCATTTGTGCTTGTGCCTTAGGTGCTGACTTTTCAACACCGAGGAATTGACCACCGATCGAGGCCATCTCATCCCCATTCTGTATAATATCGTCGTAAAGTGATGCGTCTTCCTCGTGAACAGTCGTTGTTTGAGTTGTCTGAGTGTACAGCGGTCGAGCTGGGTGATCTTTGCGGTCTTGAATATAATGACCGGGAGCACCGTTCAGTTGACAGTGATCCGAGCATCCGTGTCGGCATATTTCAACCTTAGAAACATATTCATTAAGTGATAGATGAACATGGCATGCGACATTCTGCAGTCTCACTGGTGTTCGTGATGAGTTGACTGGCTTACACGATAGTAACACAGATGAAGTTTTATTTTGCCACTAATGTATAATATTTTACTCACCTTACACTTGATATGCACACTGAGTGCGTCCGGGAACTTGAAGGCGTGGAAGAAAGCGTAAGTGATGACAGTCGCACGATCGTCAGAGCCACGCGCCTTCAAGAATCGACTAATCATCTTTGGCCTCAGCACGCAACCGAGCTCATCGCTGAGCTGTATCGTGTGTCCACCTCCGTCAGATGCCACACATGATTTCACGCGCATATCGAACTCTCCTTGGAATTAATTGAGGAGAGAAGTGCATTAATTAGGGGAGAGAGATTAACAAAATTGGGACGATTAACGCGGTTGGAAACAATTCGAGTTTGGCGACAGTTGACTAGTAATTTTGAGGAGAGTGATATTGAATTCGATTGAAAGTGAACAAGAAACACTGAATTTCTTTAAATAATATTGGGTGGCAGGTCTTTTCAACTATGACATTTCAATTAACGAGAATTAATAAATAAATAAACGAAGAACAGGAAATGACGCAGCCACGACGTTCCTTTAAATTTTCTGTTACTAAATTCCTTGACATTTCATTGGAATTTAGCCAAAGTTTTCTAACAGTGCACTGTTAGAAATTTTTCGACATTTAAGTAACAGATGCATTAGAATTTTCAAAATTCTGAACTTGAATTCAATTTCCGACTAAATTGCTCGTGGAATTCCTCATCCATCTTGGAAATTCAATAAAATTAAGTATTTCGTTATGAATGATCATTGAATTTTCAATGACAATTTGGATTTTCAAACCTATCGCGAGAATTAAACAGTTTGAAAATTCAGAAGAACAGTTGCCTGAATTTTCACGATTTTCAGTAATTTTCATTGTCGTATGAACCTGAGAAATCAATTTCATTGAATATTCAAGAACATTGACAGATTCACCAATAACAAGATCAATAGAAATTCCATGTAAATTATTCGTTGTCAAAACTTTCAAGATTTTTTACTTGAAATTTTAAGAGTAATTTTGTAACAGTGGGGCGAGCAAGAGACTCACTCCGCGAGGATGAAATCTATTTGGAAAGCCTTTGTAGCAGTTGTTTTCAGAATGTAATTTGACGGAATTTTGATGATTAGTATAGCAGATGGCTTAATAATAGCGAAATGGGCAGTCGATTAGAACTACAAAAGGTAACTTTTCTCACCTCTGTAATCATTGATCGCAACAACCAAAGTGAGAGTTGAGCCAAGAGGCACAATTCCAGAAACTGGCGGAGCCCAGGGACCTTTTCCATGTTGAATTTCCATCCAGCAATCAACGTTGTCGCCTGTGAAAAAATGTAATAGTGTAGTCTCGCTACATCACACGCATGCGACACGTCACGCATCACCTTTGTAATACTTTATTGATCCGATTAGGAATACGAATTCAGTCTGGCGCTAACCGCCGAATACTCAACAAATCGACTATCTGACTTGCTACTACTTTTGTATATACTTCTAAACGCTATTGAAAGAACAACAATTAAGTTGAACTAGTTGTTAAGTAGTGCATTGATTATTCTTTCCGACATGATCATTCTACCTTCGATCTCCGCAATTGTAGATTTTATTATTGCACGTGTCCAAAATTTCCACAGGATAACGTACTAATTTTTCTAAGAACGGGTATCAAATGTCTATTGGAATTCTTTCGGAATATTGAAAGATTAGAAATTTTTGCGCTGATTTCTATAGAAAATTATGCAATTTTGTCCTACGGGTTTTCGCCAATTTTTTTCGACAAAAAAGTTGACGGATTTTGTATATTTTATATGAATTATCCTCTCAAATTTTTCAATAGAATTTCTGGAGTGTAAATTTTCCATATTAGAATTCTGTTAGAATATTGAAAAAGTAGGTAATTTCGCTGATTTTTATAGAAAATTATGCAATTTTACAGTGCGATTTTTCGCCAATTTTTTTCGACAAAAAAGTTGACGGATTTTGTATTTTTTATATGAATTATCCTCTCAAGTTCTTCAATAGAATTTCTTGAGTATAAATTTCCCCAGTTGTTTCCACTGTAATTATTTTTTCCCCATTCCAAAATCCAAGAAAAAAATCGAATAAATTAACAATATCTACGGCAGAAAGCTTTAAATTTTTATTCAAATCGAATTAAATTCTTACAAATTTGCAATAAAATTTCCCAGAGAAAGCGTTAGGTTTGTCTATCAAACCTTGTCGCACGTGTAGTTTCAAAAGGTCATTAAATCATAAGCACATTCGTTCGAAAATGCATTACGGCTCGCGTGATGTACGCAACTTCCACTGGTGACCGTATAAAAATCCGACAAAATGACTTGACATCATCCATTGATGACTTGAATTTAAAATGAAGAGTCATGAAAAAAGGAGCGAGAGATCATCCGGACATACCGGCAGTGGCTTTCCGGGTGATTTACCACACAGGTTCTTTTTCTCTTACTCTCCACCGCAGCAATGAGTTGCAACGTACCATGTTGTCCTCATATACAGTTGCTTAACTGTATAAGTATCATTCATTACAAATTCCGCAGTTAGATCGGTGTCGTATTAAGCGACCATTCAGGAGATAACCATCAACTTAGTCCGCTCGTAATTTCGAGAATAAATATGATAAATGAATTACCTCTGAAGTCAAGCTGAATTACGTCGAGATCAGCTATAACCATCGGGGGTTTTGAGGCGGTTTTCTCGTAGTCATTGAACCATTCGCATCTCAGCCTCTTGGCTTCATCCCAAACCTCCAGGAGGTCCTTGTCGTACTGCACGACTACTGTATTCTCGTAGAACTGACCGTGCATGTCTGGCTTCGTTCCGCATCTGTTGAAATTTCGATAAGCACACTGAGAGAAAAATCGACATAATATGGCAACAATTCGACTGGGTTGGTGGTCGCTCGCTTCGCTCACTCCCATTGCGGGTGGGTTGGAGTGGGTGTGACCCATTACGGGTCGAACCGATAACTTCCCGACCAATTGCCTTTCCTTCATTCATTACACGGAGAGAAATATTCAATAAAAATTACCAGAAAAAAGACGTAAAAATTACGTTTTGAAACGTAATCTGGGAGCGAAGTAAAATTCAATAAAAAGTGTCAATCGTCACGTAAATTCTACGATCTGTTCCGTAAAAATTACTCATCCGTCCGACGCCTCACGGCTAGCCATGAGTCACCGTGAGGGGGAGATTTTAACAACACGTTCCGTAATTTTTCCGGAACTTTTCGTAAAAATTCTTAAACATCCAAGAATTTTCATGTTCTGAGGCATAATAAGTCTTGAAGTTTCTGTTAGATTTTACAACTTCCAGAAAAATTACGTGACTTTTTCGTATTTTTTCGGTGACAGACCCGAAAATTTACTGAACGTTTCAGATTTATTCTCTTACATTCCTATAGAAATTCACTGAAAACGATTCTCGCTTGCGGATTACGTGAAATGTTCCGTAATTTTTCTTGAATATTTCTCTCCGTGTAGAATTAGATTTTTCTACGCAATTTATTCTGCTGAGATATTGTCCACTGAATTTCCTCTGCTCAAATTTTCCAAGTTTTTTTTGTTTGATTTTCTTAATGAAAGCTTTTTTCTGAAAAGAAGCAATCGCTCCTAATGGGTCGAATCATAAAAACCGTGGGGGGTTGGCGAGCGGAGCGAGCAAGGGGCGAAGCCCCCTAGTCATGTATTGTTATACGTACATATGCCCCCATATAAAATAAAATGTACGGGAATAGCATATTTCGATACGATTGCGGGAAAGTGTTTTTGGGCTCGTGGGAGGTTTGTAGCACGAGCCGAAGGCGAGTGATACACGGAGAGAAATTTTCTAGAAAAATTCTAGTACGAGTACTGGAAAAAATCACAATCCACCGGCTGTGAAAAATTCTAGTGCTGTTAAGGTAAAATTTCTTGGTATTTCTGGTAAAATTTCTGGGGATTTCTGTGAAACTTTCACAGAAACACGGGGAAAAATTCACGTTTTCCCCAATAAAATTTCTAGTGCCGGCACTGGAATTTTTTCCTGGCCGTCACTTTGCGCCTCTTTTCCCGTGCTAGCAGTAGAATTTTTCTAAAAAATTTCTCTCCATGTATAATCCCACGAGTCTAAAAACACTTTTCCCGCGAGTATCGAACCCTATTTTTCATCACAATGTGTGGGAAGCTGGGTTTTGCGCACGCAGAGCGAGCGTAAAATGTCACTTTACACACAGCGTGATGAAAAATATATATTGCATGTATGAGTCGTGTACCTGTCCTACATGAAATCTTATGTAATTCTTCATTTATAATTCATATACAATCATCGGCCAATTTACCATATTTTCACATATACCGGTATATATACATATAGGGGAGGGTGGGGCAAAACGGCCCCCCTTCAATTGTCAATAACTTGTGAATGACATTGTGAAAATTCCCAGTTTCAACTTCATTTTGAAGATAATTTTTCATTCTTCAAAACGAGCTCTAACTCATCCCAATCGGATTATTGAATCGGAAAATATTGACGATTGAAGGGGGGCCGTTTTGCCCCATCCTCCCCTATGTCCTATATTTTGGCATACATTCCCTCATGGAAAGCATGTATGGATTATATAGGACTCATGTATTTTCCGCACATATATTTTTCCATGGGGGTATTCGTATAGAATTTCTATAGATTTTCGTCTATGATATTCGGATATTTTTTATACAAATTATTTCTATACGATTTCTATAGGTTTGATCCGATACGATCCACTGCCACATGTATAGAAACATTTCGTACGGAGTTGCGACATTTCTCTACGTTTTTCTCTGGAGCGTTTAGACATCTTTCGTATGAAAATAAAAATTTATATATGGAAATAATTCGCGGAGAAAATATTCGTATAGAAATATCCGAATATCATATACGGAAATCCTATAATTTCTCTACGTAATCAGCATAGAAAATTTCTATACGATTTTTTCATACGTGTAATTGGCTCTTTTCATGCCACACAGTCCACTATTGTGAAAAAATTAATGAAGTTTTTTGAAGAAACAGATGAGATATCATAATTTTGAAACAATAGATCCTCGAGTAAGACAATGGGATTTTCTAGAATGCAGGTTTTTTAATATCTTAATTTGAAACGCTAAAAATGACTCAAGTTTAGGGTTACAAACGTTTTAAGAAAAAAAGTATGAAAGGATCTTAATTTTAGACTAATTGAATGGCTGTGGGTACCTTGCATATGCTATTCGGAATGAGAAGAATGTTTGTCCAGTGGAGGGTGGTACATAAACGCATCTTGGGTCGGCATGTTGTCCCTTGGATGACACGATACCCTCGAACGGTTGTGAGAATGACAAATGTACGTCCATGTGGTCCTTGCCGCACATCACTTCCAGTGATTGAATGGCAGGCATGCCCTCTGGTCTCTCTAACGGCCAGATATCGCCGCTACCAACGACGTACTCCATCCCAACCACCTGTTACAGGGGAAAATATTACTGTTAAACATTTTTGGCTGATATTTCCGGTACACTTTTTGGAAATGTTCATTATATTCTAGTTCCATTGAAATTTTAAGATATTTCGTCATTAAAATGGCAGAATTTCATGGGAAAATAAATGAGAACTTTGAATGTCACTTCAATTATTTCCTGAAAATTGATACGAATTAGGCAAATTCCGGTAAATATATTCGTGAATTTTCAATTTAATTTTTCGGAATCAATTTTCGATTTAATGCCGCTCAAAACTTTGGAATTTTATTGAATTTGCAGTGAAATCTTAAATTTAATGATTTTTAATTTTAATTTTAATTTTTTAATTTTTTTATTTATTTTTTTGATTTTAATTTTTTGAGGATAAGTCAAGAATATGAGGATGTGTATGGGAAGTGAAGTATTCTAGAAGTAAATCCTTCAAGTAGTGACCAATTTCTCTGTTACAAAATAAGTAAAATTTTATAGACCAGTTAAATAGACAGATTAAATGATTAAACGGACAGTAATAATTGAAATTTCATGAACGAGTAACTTTCAGGAGAGTCACTAGGGATGTAGAAATTATTAGGAGAGTGACATTGAGTTCAATTTGGGGAAAAAAATAATAAAACTTCAGATTTCGGTAAAACTTCATTGAAATTCTAAGTTTTTTAGCAGCAGGAAGACGAGGATTCTCCAAATTATTTGAATTTTCAATGAAAATATAAATATTTCGTACGAAATTAAACTTAATTCTTCATTTAATTGAAAATTCAATAATATATTGAATAAAATTTTCCTGACTCTTATAAAATTTCATGAAACAATTAAAAATCATAATAATAAAAATGAATAATCATAGTAATGAATAATTATGAATTGAAATTGACAGCTTCCATTAATTTTTCCGTCAAATTGTAAAATTTCAATGACGAAATTCCTCAAAAATTCAGTGAAACTACCGCTTGACGAAAATTGTAATAAAAAAAATTATTCTTTCAATCATTCTCTTCCCAAAACCCAATAATGAAAATTGTTCACATTTTGGAACAATCCTCCCCGCGTCATCAACTTCCGCAAAAAATTTCCTCTAGGACGTCTTTTATAGAGTAAAACGAGAGCTGCAAGAAAGGTTCTCACGAAAATCCTGCTGTTTCCGTCCGATTCAAAGATATTGAACCGAGAAATAAGTTGACCTACATCGATTTGCCACTTCACTACTGATTCTCTACTGATCTCCTACGACGATTCTCTATCCTCTCCATCACTCTATATCTCCTGCTACGGTTGCTGGATAGAAGCAAATTACAGGCGCCACGCTATTAAGGCGCGCGAGGAGTCCAGCTGAGACAACTTAAGTAGTTAACGATCGCAATCTATGCGATATTCCTTGAAAGCACGTATAAGTTCCCAATTTTTCGGGATTTCACAAGAATCAGGCATTCGGTTGATCGTGTGTACAGTAGAGTATCCAATTTGTTCGAAGAATATTCAATAGTGCAATACATCCCGGGTACACTACAAGTATTTACTTCTGATCAGCGAGAATCGCGAAAACTCGTACCGCTTCATATGGAAGTTGCTTCACAAGGCGAAGGCTTCATGACGGAAGAGTATTTCTCGGAATCGGCTTCAACTTCAGAGCCAGCAGACGGATAAGAATGTTTGCACTCAGGCTGAAGCGAAATCGTTGTTGAGGGATGCGACTTAAATTGACTATTGGAAGTTAGTGAATCGCCATCCTAGAGAATTTCACTATTAAGACGATTAACGAATTAATTAATTGTTAACGAATGGCATTAATAGTTGAGAAGTCTTGTTAACATCAACTAAATTGATCCACATTTCTACACGGAAGAATATAAAATTCATTTTTACTGTGGGAACAGTAATTCTTAATAGGAGAAATGAAATGCAGGAGCATTCCCGCCACAATCGAAAATTTAATATTTATAACATAGTAATTTTGAGGCTGACAAAATAAAAATATGATCCGTGCATGAGACATGCTACACGGAGAGAAATATTCAATAAAAATTACCAGAAAAAAGACGTAAAAATTACGTTTCGAAACGTAATCTGGGAGCGAAGTAAAATTCAATAAAAAGTGTCAATCGTCACGTAAATTCTACGATCTGTTCCGTAAAAATTACTCATCCGTCCGACGCCTCATGGCTAGCCATGAGTCACCGTGAGGGGGAGATTTTAACAACACGTTCCGTAATTTTTCCGGAACTTTTCGTAAAAATTATTAAACACCCAAGAATTTTCATGTTCTGAGCCATAATAAGTCTTGAAGTTTCTGTTAGATTTTACAACTTCCAGAAAAATTACGTGACTTTTTCGTATTTTTTCGGTGACAGACCCGAAAATTTACTGAACGTTTCAGATTTATTCGCTCATATTCCTATAGAAATTCACTGAAAACGATTCTCACTTGCTGATTACGTGAAATGTTCCGTAATTTTTCTTGAATATTTCTCTACGTGTAACAACAACTAATCTGTTCTATCAGTGTAAGAATAACTCAACATAGTAATTTCTGCTATTTCCTTGAGTGAAATGTAGGAGGCGCGAAAGTATAAACTAAAGTATCAAATCGTACGAAAAAATTACAATTTAACATATTAAAAATTCATACGATTTGACTAATTTCTAATTAAGTTCGTTCAATACTAAAAATCGGTAAATAAGTTGAGCGTTTTTAACCCTTTTGAAAACTACTTTTTCATCCGCGCATTTTACACTGTTTTGTCCGTTGAAAATTACTACGTTAAATCGTAAAAAAAATTCTTCCGGTATGTTCTATTACAATTTAACATATTAAAAATCCATACGATTTGACTAATTTCTAATTAAGTTCGTTCAATACTAAAAATCGGTAAATAAGTTGAGCGTTTTTAACCCTTTTGAAAACTACTTTTTCATCCGCGCATTTTACACTGTTTTGTCCGTTGAAAATTACTACGTTAAATCGTAAAAAAAATTCTTCCGGTATGTTCTATTACAATTTAACATATTAAAAATCCATACGATTTGACTAATTTCTAATTAAGTTCGTTCAATACTAAAAATCGGTAAATAAGTTGAGCGTTTTTAACCCTTTTGAAAACTACTTTTTCATCCGCGCATTTTACACTGTTTTGTCCGTTGAAAATTACTACGTTAAATCGTAAAAAAAATTCTTCCGGTATGTTCTATTACAATTTAACATATTAAAAATCCATACGATTTGACTAATTTCTAATTAAGTTCGTTCAATACTAAAAATCGGTAAATAAGTTGAGCGTTTTTAACCCTTTTGAAAACTACTTTTTCATCCGCGCATTTTACACTGTTTTGTCCGTTGAAAATTCCTACGTTAAATCGTAAAGAAAATTCTTCCGGTATGTTCTCACAGTAATTTTTAATTTTATATTCCCTCCGTGTGTCAGTGTTGAACCATTCGTAACGTCATCTTTGATCTGAAGTAAACCCCTCCGACACATCCATCTCGGTAAGCCGAGAGCCCCTTACGTCAATTCTGGATATGACCAACACCTCGATGTTTACATTGCGCACATCCTGCTCACCACAATGCTACTATTCGGAAATGAGTAGGCCGAAAAGGTGCTGTTCACGCGGGTGCTTCTCATTCCACGCACAAATCCGCGCCGAGCAACCCTGTAACGGGAGAGGCGTCTTTACCGCTGCATTAACGGTCGACGTTTTTCACGCAAGTGAAAACAAGTTTTAGCAAGGCAAAAGACAAACCGTGATGAGGAAGACTGATGATGAAGGGGGAGGGGGGCACTATACAATCGCACTGTTACATGACAACGTTTTCATTAGAAACGATTACGCGTAGAGGCTCTATATGTACCCCGAGCGCTTCAGGACGCCGGTCTTGGCTCGACAAACCATCGGTTTTTATCGCTATACTTAATGTACATTAGCGGTCATAGGAGTTGATGGTTTTCACTGTTTTATAGCGAACTTTATTATTACTCGTTTGACATTTAGTCGATTCATAGGAAATTATTGGAATAGGTTTCGTACAACGGAGAGAAAAGGTGGATGAAAATTAGCTGGGAAATTGCGGAAAATTTTACTGCAGGAAAGCCAATCGTGGAGCGAAATGTAATTCAATGAATAAAAACATCTGTGGATGCAAAAATTGTCCTCCTGTATTGTAAAATTCCCTACACCGCTAGTGTATTTTTTTCTGTCCCGCATATGAAGGTCATGGGGACGAATGGAAGTGAAATTTTAGCGAACGTGTTGGGTTAAAAATTGTTCTCCCACGGAGAGGAATGTTCAGTAAAAATTACGGAACTCACAACTCACTCACCGATTACGGAGTCGACTCAGAAAATTTAAGTGACGGTATCGTAATTTTTTACAGGAGATTCGGATAAAAAGTACGGAACGCTCCGGGAAAATTCCGTGACAGTTCCGTAAAATTTCTTACAACCACATTTCCCTCCGGAATTACGGAAAAGATACGTAATTTTTATTGAATATTTCTCTCCGTGCCGTTACAGAAAAATTATGCGCAATTTTGAGCAGTCATTCACGTTCACTGGGCTAATGTTTGATGGGGTACAGGGAGAATTTTAGGGATTTGGTACATGCGCTGTTGGAAATTTTTTGAAATTTTGGGGAACATGTTACAGTAAATCTCATGAGATTTAGGGATTTAGGGAATAGCGGGAGTAGAATTCGCGGGAATTCATGAGTTTTCAGTGGGAGTGAGATGAAAATTTCACAACTTGATTGAGTTTTCAGCGGAACATGAATATTCAGAACCAAAATGACATGATTTTCCAATTTTTCCCTGAATCTTTCTGATTGTTCTGAATTTTCAGAGAATAATTGAACTGAGAAATCAAGTATGTTATTGATTTGCAGATCATTTGAGCAGAAAATCAGTGGAATATTCGATTTTTCAATGACAAGATTTCCTGAAGTCTCAGTGGAGCTTTAACAGGATAAAAAATTACAGAATTTAACGCGGAAAATTCAGACGAAGATTTTTAACAGTGCATTATGCTGACGTTCAGTAAATTTTTCCGAGCCAATGGAAAAAAAATATTCTTGATACAAGATGATATATAGAAATTCTACTAAAATGATGATTTAAAAAATTACTTGAGAAAATTCATCCCCCTGAACTTTTCACAATAAAAATCCAAACAAAATGAATTATAGAAAAAGCAAAGTCTTTTTTTCGACGCGAAAAACAGAAATTCAAATAAAATTTCAATGAAAAATTCCTAGAAAATGTGTTGGATTCTCCTATTAAGCTTTTTCGTAATTGTCTACACGATTAACAGAAGTCTGGGGTAATTTCCGACGAATCCTTCTCACCGTTCCTAATGAGAGGTGCTGACAAACGTCGGGCAATTGATAACTCTATTGATAACGCCCATACACGCATAATTTAATTTGATTGCTCCATCCCACTGACTATACATCACACGAGCAACGGTACCTAGAGTAAGCAATAATAATCGCTTGCAAGATGTTGTCTACGCCAGCATAATTTGCATTGAATAAAGTTTCGCACAGTGAGAGGAAACCTTACTTATGTTACACAATTTGTTTGAGATAAGAATGAAATTTTCCAATCCCGATGAAGTTTATTCGATGTAAATAAACAATTTCTCTGAATGCATTTTCGATCAAAATTTATCAAATGTTTATCTTCAATGAAATTGCAATTGTTAGGTTCTAATATTATTAAAAATTGTTAAAATTCAGGAAATCGTTGTTTAAAATTCACGGTCTACGGAGAATTCAAGGGAATATGATGTTCAATTTTCACAATGAGTTCGAGAATAGAAAGACGAATACAAAATTCTATGAACAATTTGATCTCAAATTCAAAATTAAATTGAGTTCACAATATTGAAAATTCAAATGAGCAATACCTGAAATTTTCAAAAAATTCTGGCGATGTAGGTAAATAAACCCGTTCATCACATAACATAACATCAGTCTATCCCTAAAAAATTTATTTGATGTGAATATACAATTTCTCTCAACGCATTTTCGATCAAAATTTTTCAAATGTTTGTCTTCAATAAAATTGCAATTTTCAGGTTCGAATATTATTAAAAATTGTTAAAATTCAGGAAATCGTTGTTTAAAATTCACAGTCTACGGAGAATTCAAGGGAATACGATGTTCAATTTTCACAATGAGTTCGAGAATAGAAAGACGAACAAAAAATTCCATGAACAATTTGATCTCAAATCTAAAATTACATTAAATTCGCAATATTGAAAATTCAAATGAGCAATAACCGAAATTTTCAAAAAATTCTGGCGATGTATGAACATAACATCAGCCTATGCCTAAAAAATTTTTATGATGTGAATATACAATTTCTCTCAATGCATTTTCGATCAAAATTTTTCAAATGTTTGTCTTCAATAAAATTGCAATTTTCAGGTTCGAATATTATTAAAAATTGTTAAAATTCAGGAAATCGTTGTTTAAAATTCACAGTCTACGGAGAATTCAAGGGAATACGATGTTCAATTTTCACAATGAGTTCGAGAATAGAAAGACGAACAAAAAATTCCATGAACAATTTGATCTCAAATCTAAAATTACATTAAATTCGCAATATTGAAAATTCAAATAAGCAATAACCGAAATTTTCAAAAAATTCTGGCGATGTATGAACATAACATCAGCTTATGCCTAAAAAATTTTTTTGATGTGAATAAACAATTTCTCTCAATGCATTTTCGATCGAAATTTTTCAAATGTTTGTCTTCAATAAAATTGCAATTTTCAGGTTCGAATATTATTAAAAATTGTTAAAATTCAGGAAATCGTTGTTTAAAATTCACAGTCTACGGAGAATTCAAGGGAATACGATGTTCAATTTTCACAATGAGTTCGAGAATAGAAAGACGAACAAAAAATTCCATGAACAATTTGATCTCAAATCTAAAATTACATTAAATTCGCAATATTGAAAATTCAAATAAGCAATAACTGAAATTTTCAAAAAATTCGGGTGATGTAGGTAAATAAACCCGTTTATCGCATAACATAACATCAGTTTATCCCTAAAAAGCTTATTTGACGTAAATTAAAAATCTCTCCGAACAGGATTCCTACCAGAACTCCTCGAAATGTTAAATTTCCAACATTTTCATCTGCCACCTAATTTGTGGCACGCAAGAGAGAACTCACCATATAGATGATGATGCGTAGCAGCTTCCACACCCCTGGCATTCTAGTGGTCTCAGCCTCTCACGCTGAAACGCGTTAACCTGTCAACAGAGGAGAATAACAAAAATGTATTCCATAGGTTCATCCATCGACATTTCCCTCCCGGACCGCTGCCCAACTGACCCTGAAAGTCTCCAGACCAGCGTCTGTTACCCGCACAGCTCGAATATTTGTAGTGCACTGGACATATATGCCGGATACACATCAAAATTCATCGGTGCGCGATAATGCACTCGCCAGCGGTGAAATTAATTGAGCGTTAAGTACGTACTCTGTCGCGCTCCACGTGCCAAAGGGGTATGTAGAATAAGAGAATTCATTTGCACTCGATTGTAATCATTTCTTCTCAACGCGAGGGCATTTCAATATTCATCTTTTCACTTCCGAATGGACGCTTTGTAATCGCTCGAATTGAAGTTTACAATTTTTTGTGTTAGGGTACCTAAATGTGGTCTGAACAGTCCGAATATGCGATTTTTAGACGTATATTTTAATTCAAGTATATTTTTTATACAACTGGGGGATGGGTATTTCACTTCGAAGATGACTCTTTTGTCTTTTAAAAAAATTTAATTAATTGTGTTATTTAACGAAAATTCCTCAAACCTAATGACAATAAAAGAAAATATGAGGAGGCTGAACTAATAAAAGCCCAGCAAAGATAAAAAAACAAAAACAGCAAAAAAATGAAAAACGAAATAAAAAAAAATTAATAAATTGCCTTATTCAATGAAAATGCCCCAAATCGAATATAGATGAAAAAAATAGTAGGCGGCTCAACGAAGGAAAGCAAAGCAGAGATGAAGAAACAATGAAAAAATAAAAAATGAAATTAAAAAACGGATGTTTCAAATGTTTCATTCAGCAGTGCTGTTAAAATGGATAAAAAAATTTAATAAATTGTATTACTTAACGGAAATGTTTCAAACCTAATGACGATAAAAGAAAATATTAGGAGATTGAACTAATAAAAGCCCAGCAAAGATAAAAAAACAAAAACAGCAAAAAAATGAAAAATGAAATTTAAAAAAATTCAATAAATTGCCTTATTCAATGAAAATGCCTCAAATCGAATATAAATGAAAAAAATATTAGTCGGCTCAACGGAGGAAAGCAAAGCAGAGATGAAGAAACAATGAAAAAACAAAAAATGAAATTTAAAAACGGATGTTTCAAGTATTTCATTCAACAGTGCTGTTAAAATGGATAAAAAAATTTAATAAATTGTATTACTTAACGGAAATGCCTCAAACCTAATGACAATAAAAGAAAATATTAGGAGATTGAACTAATAAAAGCCCAGCAAAGATAAAAAAACCAAAACAGCAAAAAGATGAAAAACGAAATTTAAAAAAATTTAATAAATTGCCTTATTCAATGAAAATGCCTCAAATTGAATATAAATGAAAAAAATATTAGTCGGCTCAACGAAGGAAAGCAAAGCGGACCCACAGAAGTAAAGGAAAAGAAAAAAAAAGAACCAGAACTCGTGGAAACTGCGTGGTCAATTAAAAACAATCATTGCTGCGTTAAGTTTTAATCTCCATGAGATTCTCACCGGAGGAATTCACGGCGAAGAGAAAGAATAAAAAAACAAAGGTGGAAACGCGTAACTTCCGAGTTGCAACAATTGCGCATGCAGCTGGGAATGCATTCATGCCTTGGCCTTTTCCTTCTCTTATGTTATTTCCTGTCCTCAACTCGCAATCAGCTCTTACTCATAATGCTCGAGTTGAGTCTCGTGGTGCTCTGTACGACCGCGGCAGTGAATCGAGGTAGAAAGGCTTGGCCTTTAACGGCTGTCCACGACTTGTAATTAGGTACCTCAGCCATTCGTAGACCGTGACTCGTTAGTTGTGGAGACGGCACTTGCCCGTAAGTCTTTCATTCATGATACGCAGGCGCACGCTCCGCGCTCTTTCATGTGCCTTTTTTCATTATCATATCGTACGGTGGATAAAGAGATTTTCCAGAATCGATGGGAAAGGGAAAAATTATTGCACGCAGATTCTCGGGGAATTTCTAGTTGATTACTAATTTACTGCTAGGGGGTTCTGGGAAAGAGGCGGCGGAGGGGTGGGATAATCTGGGGAGTTTTCGAGGAATGGGAATATTAGGGGAAATGTACTGAGAGAAAAAAGCAACATTTTGCTGAACAAGTTTTGTTAAAAATTAACAAGATTGAAATTTTTTCACTTGAACGTACGGAAGTCTTAAACATGAATGACTCTGGTTTAAGGATGTTCTACACCCTTTCTGCCAAAATTCACGTTTTTTTAATTTTTCTGGCAAACTTATGATGGAATTGACGTGAAAAAATATAACGTTTTTGCGTTTTGTCATTATTTAATGACTGACGAAATTTTAAGGTGGTGCGAACATTTTCCTGCGTTTTCTCTAAACTTTTAAAAAGAATCACAAAACTGTAGAAAAAACGCATGAAAATTATCGCACCACTACGCAACTTCGTGAGCCATTAAAGAATGACAAACCACAAAATCGTTATATTTTTTCACGTCACTCCCATCGATAATTTGCCAGAAAAATGAAAACAACGTCAATTTTGGCGAAAAGGGTGTCGAACATCCTTAAAGTAGTATATCCAAACCCCAGTAAAATATATATACACTACTCAAATTTTGAAAATGAACACCTGAAATAACTTCTAAACTGAAGTTCGTATGAATGAAAACATTCTGGTTAAGTTCGGGCTCAATTGGCAGTCTAGTAATATTGATCATAATTAATTTAGAAGTGCCAAAATAAGACAGAGTCACGGAAAAAAAACATACCTGAATTGACTATAAAATTCTCTAAAATGAATTAACTATAAAATTCTTTTAAAATTCTGTTCAATAATTCTATTGTTAATTCCAGTGGTAAACTGGTCAATTGAAAATGTAAGAATATATTTCCTGGAATTCTCCTGATTTGTATTAATGTTCAACAGGAATAATTGAACTGAAATATCAGTAGAACTACCAGTTGACAAAAAATCCCACACGGAGAGAAATATTCAATAAAAATTACGTATCTTTTCCGTAATCCCGAAGCGAAATGTGGTTGGAGGAAATTTTACGGAACGGTCACAGAATTGTTCCAGAGCGTCCCGTAATTTTTATCCGAATCTCCTGTGAAAAATTACGATACCGTCACTTAAATTTTCTGAGTCGATTCCGCAATCGGTGAGTGAATTGTGAGTTCCGTAATTTTTACTGAACACTTCTCTCCGTGCAAGAATTTCTCCGGAAATTACAGCCAAAAATTTTGAACATTGCATCGTGCAGACAGAATAATCTGTCAAGATATGGGTAATCGACTCGTTCCGATGGTTTTCCTCCTCATCCACTTCCTGGAGGATCACTTTCCCTCGTCCTACCCTGCCAGAGCCCAGATGCGGGTTATCCGAGCAAAAGCTTGATACATATACTCTAATTGCTACGTTATTACCACGGACTTGTTACACATCGACCAGACAGGTTCGCGTCCTGTGTACAACGCAAATGAAGAAAACTCTCACCTGAACACATCCTTTTCCGCTGCTCTCGATACAGTTTATCGAGGATCGAAGCCAAGTGGGGAGTCCAGAAATTCATTAATGGAGTGTAATGAGGGAAAAGCCGATTGGAGAATTATGTGTCGTGAGAAAACCGTGCGAATTTTGCATCAAAAGGGTTCAAAATTTATTAAATCCATCTCAACAATTTTTTTTAATTAACAAAATCAGATATATTTTGTAGGGGAAATGCAATAAGCAAATCATTAATGCGTTAATTTAACCAAAAAGGAAGACTATCAAATTTATATAAGTTCGTTTTCTTCATCGTCTGAATAAACAAAATCTTTATTTAAGAAAAAGGAACAGTTGTTTATATTTTAAAATACAATTTATTTGATCCTAACGTAACGCTCATTCCTCGAATTTCATTGGTCGAACATTCGGATCCGCCCGCATCTGTTCGACTTTGTTCGGCTTTCGGTTTTCGTGTCACGATTTGTCTATAACACGCGCACTGAAAAATATGAAATATAAATGTTTCATTCCGGCGCACTCTCTCCATATTTGGCACAACAAAATCCTTTTTTGATAATTTTCAAAAAACTATTTTCTTGGCGCACGTAAAACTTGTTGGGGAACTTTGTCGTTTTTCTCTCAGTGTTTTTTTCGGTTAGTTTTCTTCATGTCAATTATCTATCGGTGCTTGAAATTAATTGGAGAATAATTACAGTGATATATTAAGTTTGCATTAGTCAATATCTCATTCATAAGTTCGTAATGTTCGTTTGCCAAAAAAAACCTGTCAAAGAGAATGAACGAGTAACGGAATTGTTATCCAGCTTTGCGGGTTCGATTCCCGCCTGGACATCATCTCCATTCATATAATTCTCTCCATAATTTTTTATCGTCATTTCTGGCCATTTCTGGTCGGGCCCTCCCACCTATTTCTCTAGTCTGTAATCATCACTCGCTGGTGGTCCCTCAAACTATTAAATTCCCCGGAATTCCCGTCAGTTCAATGAACTGTTATTCAAACAGAGTAGTATTAAGTGATCCGGTGTCATCACGTACGAGAATACGAATCCTCGAGCAACTAATCTCAGGAAGGCACCCAAGGAGGGACGGAGAAGCATCGAGAAACCCGAAAGGAGGTTGAATACATCAAATCGGCAGTGCCGCACGCACATATGTCACCGTATGCCTCGTAAATATTCCACAAAACTGAATGTTTACCCGAGAACGCGCGGATAGAGATGTTTATCATCTTCATAATTCCGTTAATACCCACTAAATGACTGCTAAAATGGGGAAGTAACCGAAAATTAAAACGTAGGAACACGCGAGTGAGTGCGTACGGGAGGAAGAAATAGAGGAAGAGAGTTGAGATTGAAGGAGGGAGAACGGAATAAACGAGACGAGGCGACCCCAGACGAGGAGAGTGACCGTTATCGTGGTACTTATGAACAATTCAGACGTCTCACGACCGTCCTACATTCTTCAATTT